GAGAGAGAGAGAGAGAGAGAATGAGAATCTTAAGCAGGCTCCACGCTCAGTGCGGAGCCTAACCTGGGGCTCCATCCCTTGACTCTGAGATCATGACCTGAGCAGAAGTCGTGTCCGACTGAGCCCCCAGGCGCCCTGAAGGTGCTTCTGCTTTTCGTGTGCCATCAACACTGTGCTCTGGGTTGCTCTTGCCGGGAGCGTCACCTACACTCACCTCTTTGAGTGACGGGGAGGAACCGAGAGGTCAGGCTGCTTCCTCACGGTCACCCAGCAAGGGGCTCTTTGGCAGGGACTGGATTTCAGCCACCGCGCGGTCCTCAAGGACTGGCGCCCCATCACAGCCCATGCTCATTGATGTCTGCAGAGGCTTCCAATTAAATAGAAAGAGAATTGGCCACCTCATCTTGAGAGGGTCAGCTTGGTGGTGGAGCGTTCGAAAGTGTAATAAAATTTATCCCCGGACGGCTAAGCGGTGACCTCTGTGGCCTGATGGCGTGGCCTCATTTGTGGCCAAGGGTATGATTTTTAGTGTCTCCTCAAATAGAGTTTCTACTACTAAGGGGTGGTGCAGCATAAAAAGCAGCCCAGAGTTATGACCTTGCACCCACACGGGGCTTTCAGCTTTTCCAAAAACATTCCGGCTTGCCTTGCACAAAGAACTCCGGCGGGCTGCGGGAGGCTGCCTGCCTGTTTCCTCCTCTCAGATTAGGAAGAGCAAAGACACGCAATTCTTCCACGTGCAGATCACAATTAGGGTGGGACCCCAGGAGATTGGTAAGGACGTGGCATGTGCTAAGGGGGGGGGGTTGGCACCCGGCTGCCCACAGGTGGGAGCTGGAAGTCGGAACTCCACTGCCGGCTTGCCCCGCCCCGCCCCGCCCCCCCGACACTGTAGAAATGTCCCAGCTGCGCCCAGCCGGTGGGCTGCGGTCACACCAGTGTGAGGGCATCTGGCAGGGTCACCTCTGCTGGTCATGGCAGCCTCCTCCTCAGGGCCGCCCCAAACCATGGGTGCAGATTTAAACAGAGCCTGTAGGGGCGCCTGGGTGGCTCAGTCGGTAAGCAATTAATCTGTTGATTTTTGCTCAAGTTGTGATCTCACGGTTCCTGAGATCAAGCCCCAAGTCGGACTCTGCGCTTATAGCACGGGGCCTGCTTGGGATTCTCTCTCTCTGTCTCTCTCTCCCTATCTCTCTGTCCTTTCCCTGCTTGTGCTCCCTCTGTCTCTCTTTCTTTCTCTTTCTCTCTCTCTTTTCAAAATAAATAAATAGGGGTGCCTGGGTGGCTCAGTCAATTGAGTGTCCGACTTCAGCTCAGGTCACGATCTCGCGGTCTGTGGGTTGGAGCCCCGCATCGGGCTCTGTGCTGACAGCTCGGAGCCTGGAGCCTGCTTCAGATTCTGTGTCTCCCTCTCTCTCTGCCCCTCTCCCATTCACACACACTCTCTCTCTCAAAAATAAATATTTAAAAAAAATTTTTAAAAACCCCAAATACATAAACTTTAAACGGATACTCCACTCTAGTGCCGCATGGGAGATCCCCATTCAGGATAGCGGTTCTCCAACTCACTGGATGGGTGCCCACGTTCACGATGTGGCGTTAGCGCTCTACTGACTTGATCAACTCCACCACTGGCATTCTGTTCCCTCTCTCCTTCCAGAATTTGGTGGGATGCCTGCTTCTGCACTAAATGACTTTAGCCCCTGGGATTGGCAGGCTGGGGGCTGTCCCCTTACCTTCTTCAGCAGGGCGACCATGCCTCTGCACCACGTGGAGGAGTAGTGGACACGCTCCACCTTGAACATGTTGAGGATCTCATCAATGGGCGTGGCCGAGTGGATTTCATACGGTCTCTGCAACCAAAGGACCAGAGAGGGAATCCGAGAGAGGGCCAACCAGAAGACACCGCCCATGTGGTTAAACCTGTATATTTACAAGGGGGTGGTTTATTCTCTCCCTTTACGGAACAGTGGGTGTTCCTCTTTCACGGCAGAGCAGGTGGCCCAGACCCACGTGCCAACAGGGATCAGACCTGTAGGGTAGTGCCCGAACCCGGCAGGTGGGTGCTCTGTTATGGCCACAGGAGGTTAAATGACTTGGCGAGGGAGGTCAGGTAGCCACTAAGTGTGACAAAGGCGGGATCCGCATCCAACAGCCTAACTCCCGAGTCCCGACTCCAGGCTTGGGGCTGGGGTGGCTCTCGTCATCCACTGGACTCCCAGCCTCACCTGCGGTCGAAGTCCCTGCCTGCCGGTGGGCCTCAGCTCCACCTTTCCCCACGCTGGCTGAACCAGCTGGGAGTGAGCGGGCTGGAATCACCCAGGTCTGGGTCTGGCGGGGCGGATGGATGTGGGGAGGCAGGGCTTCTATCTACCACCCTCCCCCCGCGCCACCCCGACAGTGACAAGGCCTAACTCTGTTCTCCGACTGACCAGCTCAGCAGAGCATCAAACCTCCTGACTTGCTTTCCAAACATTGCCCTGGGCAGTTTGTTGCTTCTAAGAACCTCTCAAGACCTGGAACTTGGTTAGTCTTTCTTGAGTGGGACCCTGGGGACATGGCTGGGACAGTGTCTGAACATCAGCTCACCCCCTCTGCCTCGACCCCCTCCCAATTCCCTCCCCTTCTTTACCCTCCCCCCAGCTTCATGGGCCAAGATGCTCTGAGGTTTGCATACGGTCAAAGGCTCAGGGCTGGCATCGGCAGTCACTTCGGAGCACAGGTGGCGTAACAACTAGAGAAACTGAGAGCGAGGAGTTCATCGCCGTCCCTGTGAACCTGACTGCTGTGGGATTCCTGTAGGGGTGGGGTCCTTGAAGGTGGGCCCCGGCGGTCCAGCAGACCTCAGAGCCCAGTGACGGGCATGATGAGCCTGTCCATCCACAAACACTGACTAGAGACCAGCTGTGGGTCAGAGCCCGTACTGGGCTCACAGGGTGTGGGCTCCAATCCCGTGGAACTTGAATTCCCACGGGGCTGCTGCCACTAGGAGCCGCCAGCCAAGAAGGTGAGGGGGTCCTGAGCCCTGGGTGCACGACCGTTCCCTGGAACGTCTTTATCTTCACCAAACGGGGCTCCCCTGGGGAACATGCCTGCCCACGGGAGCGTGCCTGTGACTTGCGATGTGTCCACCCAGAAGGGCACCTTCTCCGGACTGGCTGCCTCCTCTTTCATCTGCCAATCAAGCTGGGAACTCTCCCTTTTGCCCTGTTAACATGTAGATCAAAAGCAAAACCTGGGGCTGCCTAGAAAGGCCGGCTACCTAGATGTGCTAACATTATTTACTGTATGTCTTCAAACACCGTCTTCCAATTTAATGGGAAGTGGAGGATAGTTCCAGTAACGGACGTTTCAGAATTTCCTCCCGAGGCTGCTGCCTGCCTCTGCCTTTGCCCCCATAACGGCTACCATGATTAGAAGTCGCAGGAATGAGCATTAACTGAGAGCGGAGATGTCGGTTTCTGGGCGGTTCAGGATCGCTTCTTCCCATCTTTTTGCCTTTGGAGAAAACCATGCCTCCCACCCTGTCCCAGCCGCACCTGGAAAACCAGCTGCTGGAGGCTGGAGGACCTCAGGCGATGGAGCATTCCCGCCTCCGCATCTCAGGAGTCGGGACACTGAGGCTGCGAGACCCACGGGGACCTTGCCGCGTCCCACAGAGATGCAGGATCTCCTTTGCCGCTCTTTCCTCGATGCCACCAGAGCTCACCATGCCGAGTGCCCAACCGGAGAACCAGCCAGCGACAAGCGTGATCCATCTGCCTCGCCACCCGACCTCCAAGCCGGTCACTCTCTAACTCTGTCCTTCTCTCCACTTCCGGAGGGAGCCAGACCAATAATAATGGTAACCCCGACAGGCCACGAGGCCAACACAGCAGTTAAATACGTTCCCAGCTAAGCGCGGAACACCGTGCGCAGAATACGCTCAGCGGCTTTAGGTTCAGCCTTTGTCCGTTCGGACGGCTGTAGAGAAACCCAGCTCCCTCTACAAGGATATCAGCAAATACTCAGATCGATATTCCATCTACTTGGGGTAAAGACTTCTATGGAAGCTTAGTTCGCACGCACCGGCCTTAGGATGTGTTGACTCAGGAAAGCAAGTGGCATTTCTAAGGTAAAGCGATCACATGAACCACTGGTGAAAGTGATTTTCGCAGCGGGACACCGGACAGACTCGTTATGGAGCACATGTGTGTCTCCATTCCAGAACCCCCGGTTTACAGAAAACCCCAATTGACTGAGAAGTGGAAGGGGGGGAACAGAATTGTTGCAGACTTGTTATTTGGACAGCCAGAGCTGAGCTGGGCTTTGGGGACCGTCCAATCCAATGTGTGTGTGTGTGTGTGTGTGTGTGTGTGTGTGTGTGTCCCACACCTCTTCCCTCCAGATCTCAAACGCGGACCAGATGAAAGCAAAGAACAGGTCCTCGGGCTATGAAACGTCCAAAGCCAGAGACATCACGTCCCCCTCCTCAGAACTGTTGAACTACCTGTGCTGGGTGCCAAAGGTCCAGGAAACGTGGCCTGAAAACCACGCGAAACCCCCGCTCCTTCCCCTCCCTTAATGGAGACGTAAAACCTGGAGAGTGAGGTCACAGAGTCTGTTTCCTCCCAGGTCCTGACTCCTGGCACAGTGCTCTCTCTGCTTTACCAAGGGACAAGACATCAGCGTTCAACCCCAGGACCACCTCCCTCCTTCCTTCAGGTTCACGTGCCAATAATTCCCCGGTTCTGCGGTCGAGCCTGCCCGTCCCGCGTACCCCAAGTTCTTTAGTTCTGCGCTCCACCCTCTAGGGGAGCTCCACACACCCTCCCTCTTTATTCTTCCCCTCTCTGCACCCCCAACCTTCTCTCTCAACCCGGCTGCAGGGAGAAGTGCTGACTGGGGTCAAAGACAAGGTCAGGGAGGTGGTTGGGATGGCACCACGGGTGGGGTTTGGGGGCTCACCCTTTGTCCACATCGAGAGCCCCACTCTGTGCCATGCAGTGCACGCGGGGCCTCATTCGGTTCTGGTTACCACACGGCAGTGGTTTGCAAACAGGAGCGATTTAAATTGGGTGATGTTTGGAGATATTTTTGGTTGTCGTGAGGCAGAGGGGAGATTTCTGCCGGCCTCTGGTAGGTGGAGGCCTGGGGTGCTCCTGAACGTCCTGCGCTGCCCAGGACGGCCCCCATCACAAAGCACACCCGGCCCCCCAGCGTCCACAGTGCCGAAGTCGAGGAACCCTGTCCCCTCATCCGATAGATGAGAAGTGGGCTCACCGCCGATCGTTCAGAGACTGCGCAGCAAAGCCGGGAGGTGAGCCCAGCAACGTGTGATTCCGAAGGACACCCTCGCTCAACCGTTGTGCTGACGCGGCCACAGACAGCACCATGATGCCTACAGGGTGAAGCCCAGTGCCTCCGGCTGTTCTCAGGGTCTTTTACGGGCCGTCCTCTGACTGTCCTGACTGCTGGTCCGTCAGAGATGTTTGCTGTGTCCACCTCAGCGGCCCTTCCCCATCTATACTCACACTGTTCCCTCCAGCGGCTCCTATGTGACCCGGCTTAAGCGTCTGCTCCCTCACACACTCTCCCATGCTCCTCTGAGCAAGGCCTCAGCACTTTATCTTCATCGACCTGTCTCAGGAGCATACTTATTTGATAATCAGCAAGCTTCCTGGGTGCCAGACGCTGTGTGTGCTCTGCCCACGTTTTCTCACGTCATCCCCGCCGTGACCCTGTGGGTCGGCCTCATAATCCCCATTTGATGAAGGAGGAAGCTGGGACTCAGAGGAACAAAGTGACCAAGCCGGAATCAGAGCACCGAGGTGCCTAGAGTGGGGAAGGGATGCGGACCTCTGTTCCCCAGGCCCCTGGGCCTTCCCGCCGGGGCTCACCAACCAGGCGGGACCCAGCCTCCACTCCCCGTGCCCTGTCTCCAGCTGTAAAGGGGCTGAGTCAGAGAGGACGCAGGCCTGCTGCTGGCAACCCCCCCCCCCCCCCCCCCCCCCCCCCCCCGGGGCAGGAATCACAGCAGGAAGCAGACAGTTGCTGACATTCATCAGGCACATGCAGGGTAATTTGCATCATCGAAATGACTTAATTCTCAAAGCAACCCTGTTGGGTAGATATTATTAATTTCTTTTTTCCCAGTTGAGACATGAGGATTCTAAGCACCTGATCTGTTTATTGGCTTTGGTTAAGATCACAGACGAGGCACCTGGCAGGGCCAGGGTGTGACCCTGTGAATTCCTCTAGGATCCTCTTTGTCTGCTAGGACAAAGTGGCTTTCAGGTGGGTGAGAGGAAACACTTTCTAGCCTTGCAAGCTGTCAAAAAATGAAACAGGTTCTATGAGCTCCCTGGATGCAGAGGGGAATCAGCCCGTAGGTGGTAATCACCTGTCAGGGATGCCTGGGGACATCGGCCATGCTGAGATCCCCAGTCCCTTCTCTGAGTCTGTGGGCAGGAAACCTCCTTCTCACACCTCTCCTCCCCCTGTTCTAATCAGAGGGTGTGGTCACCGTCTGGGGTGACCAAGGTGCCTGTGCTCTAAGAGGGTGACACTTTCTTGATCTCTCTTTCACTTAGCGTGCCTGCAGGGTGAGGACTGGGATCAGGCTGAGAGAACCTCCTTATGATCCTGGTCCAGGCTGCAAGATCCAACCAGGCTCCCGGATGCTCTGCATTTATGCAGAGAATGACACTCGATTAATGACACTCGATTCCTGGGCTCTCCCTACAGAGCACTGGGGGAGAGACAGCTGTTTCCCAGGTTGGGTCTAGAGTATTTCTGGGTCCCTAGCCAGCAGGCTGTATTGGTCTTATCCATTTCCCACCCACATATCTCATCCTTTCCAGCTGTAGATCGGAGAGCACACACTGGAAAGTTCCCATCATGACTTCCATCTTTTGGAGGTGAAAAACTCCCTGGCTTTGGAGGCCATCAAGGAACAAACAGGTGGATAATGACAGTGTCACTGACACTGACACAGTGTTGGAATTTGAGAAGGAAGGACAACCCCTATGTTTACACACTCCAGAGGTAAACTTAGGAGTGTTTTCTGGGATAGCTTTTTTTACTAAATGTGATTGTTTCCGGTATGAAAAACAGAGAGCTGAACAAAGCTGTAATCATCAAGACAGCATGGTATTGGCACAAAAACAGACACATAGACCAATGGAATAGAACAGAAACCCCAGAACTAGACCCACAAATGTATGGCCAACTCATCTTTGACAAAGCAGGAAAGAATATCCAATGGAAAAAAGTCTCTTTAACAAATG